ACTCCACAGTAGGGCGCTCTAACAGGATGGAAGCCCCCGTTGCAGTAGGCACTCCATCTACGGCAAGCTGAATATGTCCTCCTCAGTTCGTGATGGTGAACACTCCAGTTATTTCCTTAAGCCACCACCTACTTGCTTTGACTTAACGTTCCCTCCAGTGGGAATGAATGGTACTCAGTGAAGTCTGTGAGCTTGAGTCAATTGCTGAATCAGGAAACGCTTGTCACGACTCTCCTGTGGAGACACCGGGCCAAAACCAAGTGAGTTCCGATCCACGCACGTCCTCATTAACACCGGTTTATTGGATAAACTGCCATTGGATTGGACTGTATGCCAAACCAGAAACTCTAGCTAACAAACCCAACAGTCAAAGTAGTAAGCCGAAACTGAGCAAATCACATTGCGACATTACAAAATGTGAATCCAGCAAAATGCAAGGAAACAGTACAGTTCTCAGAATCACAGGCTGACTAGAGCTAAAATCTAACACAGTTGAAGGACCTCTGCCTAATAAGATCTTCCAATATTTTTCAACAGAAAACGCTTATGGCAGAGATTACAGCCTCCAAAGCTAATAAATGCTATTTCATTACCCGCAAGAAGGCAATGAGATCCCAGATCCAAAGTTCAAGCATAAATTTGACATGTATAAAATTTATCCGGTGTTCCCATCTGTGCCTCCAGCCAAATTCAATCAGCAAAACCACATCACACTCAGTGCACATTTGATTAATAAAATTATGCATTCAGTAAGAGCAAGGTGGAGGGACAGAATTAATAAATATCATTAGATTAAAACTTACCATAGCTAATTGTTCCCTCAGTTGATTAATCACTCTTTTATGTGCTCCAGCCAAGGCAATGAAACAAAACACAATAAAGCTATAAAACAAGGTGAAAAATACATAATGGAACACTTTGGCATGGCTGGCTTGTGTAAGCTTGCAAAACACAATCTCTTGAAGACAGAGGGCAAAGATGAGACTAGTAAGGATCACTAGTCACGGAGAATATCTCTGTGGTCCCTAACAGCTGACACCGACTTGATGGCACGTAATCAATCAAATCAATCAAGGGTCAGCGGGGTCTGTGGTAAGCCACAATGATGCCAAAAGGACATCGTGAATGTCGTGATTATGTAACAATATCTTAACACCTAATGAAAATATGGAAGCCGAGTCATTGTCGTTTGGCCCTCCCTTGCGGATGCTCAGAATAAGGATTCTTAAGTTAAACTGCCCAACCGAGATATTGAGCGTACGAATGTGGAGTGTCCCTGGGACAGTACCCAAACACAGTTACATACTCAAATAAATACAGATCTGTCAATCATCTTGAATGCCACCAGGAAAATGTGGCAGCCTTCAACCTAAGCCATCAATGACCAGCATTAAGGAAGGACACATAATGCAGTAAGTACCAAGCACAGCAAACAGTTATGGTGGCAACCAGGAACATGAAACACTATCTCCCACCCCCATTTTAGTGTTCTTTTAGATGTTTTTGGAAAAATAGTCAATCTAGTTAATGCTTGGATTTCACATTAAACTATCTACCCTGGATAATATACCACAATTGCAAAGTCTGTATAAAACGCTACACCCACTGAAAACCACACGATAGCTTGCTAGAATGGTCATGTGAACCACACCCATGTGTCTGCCGGCAAAAGCTCACCAGGTAACCATGAAGAAAGGCACAGCAAACGTTTCAGAAGAAATGCCATTCAAGATTCTTTGCAACAGGCGGGGGAATTTCTTTATGGTATGTCCAATGACATCCCACGAACGATGGAAATTCACAAAAGGCCCACAGGCTTTAGAAGACGGAATGCTGTTCAGGAGGGGAGAGATGAGAAAATACAAAATATTACCAAACATAAATGTTCCTCTGCCATCTGTGGTGAACATTATAGCAGCTTACTGCACCCAGTGGCTGCCAGATGTAGACTAGAACCCGCACGATCTCCAGCCTGCCAACCCTGGAGATGGTGGTTGAGGTCCAATCTGTCAGGGAAGGCTTCATGCTTCCTCTACTTGCCCACGAAGGGGAGAGCTGCAACTGAGGTCTGGGGGCAAGGAAACAGGCTACAATATGTGGGGTGACAACACAAAGGAATACTAAGGAACACCTGTGAATCATCCCCAACATTAAAGCTACTTACTGTGTCATGCTGATTCCCAAAGGAATGAATGCCAAAAGGAGACCAATCAGGAGGACCACCAGGAAGAAAAAGTTGGAGCTGGAGGCTCTGAAGGGCCGGGCAGAAGGTTTACATGTGTGCATCAAACTTATCTGGAGAGTAAAAAGAGAACTGATGACTTCTTTCCATTTTCCCTTTTTATTTTCTGTCATTCTCCTATCACAAACTAGGATCTGCTACCGAAACACTCAGAGAAAAGAACATGGAGAGATTTCCCATTATATGGAAACACAACCGTTGAAGACAGTGCAATCCAAGAAAAAGCTTAAATACAGAATCCATACACAAAGCTTGAATTAAAAAGTTGGAGAAGAAAACTTAAGCTGTAGAGGAAAATATACGTATAAGAGGAAAACAATTGCCAAGGCTTCCTAGATGTTTACTTCCCTAAGTATTCACACTGCACTCAGGATGGAACAAGGACAGATGTTCCTAGACAATCTAAGGCACAGAAAGACCATCTAGTTACCTTTTTAATATAAAAGACAATGAAATATTTTATGGCTGCAATTGCTGGGAGAAGAGGACAGTAGAAAGTTCCAATCCAGCAGATGGTTTGTCCATAAACTATCTCCAACACGTTGTCTGGGATGGCAAACTCCTGCAGCCCAACCCACTGAAAGGCCTTCACGGGACAATGGGTAATGATCAACCTAAAAGCAGAAACATTCATTCACTTCCAATTCTGATGCTCAGCACTTGTCTTCCCAGAAAGCAAAAAGCTTGTGTTCTTGGGTTATATTCATAGCAGCCTAATAGCCAGGCTGGTTGGGGTGAGGGGAACTATCATCCAACACAACAGGATGTTGGAAAAAATGGATTTATAGCTACTCTAGAGAAGGTGGAGGCAGACTTAACATGAAATTCCAAAAGGTTCTCTACCAATTGGCAGAAATGGCATTAAAGTGGCAAATGTGGTTGAGTGTGAGCAAGCAGAGCTTGCTTGACCCAAAGTTAAATGATCTTTGCCACTTCACAAAACACTTAACACAAAGGCAGTTTCTTTCTTCCGTATACACAGGCCTTAGAAAGTTTGGAAAGGTTTGATAAAGTACGACTGCCCATTTTCACCATTAATCTATGGCAGTGTTTCTCAACCTTGGCAACTTTAAGACCTGTGGATTTCAACTCCCGGAATTCCCCAGCCAGCCATGGGAATTCTGGGAATTGAAGACCACAGGTCTTAAAGTTGCCAAGGCTGAGAAACACTGATCCATGGTATTCTAGTTCCTGGCTACCCAAGGTTGTGTGGGTTTGTGTGCTATGTTCTCTTGGCCAGGAAAGCTTGGAGGGCATTGTCAACATCAACAACAAGCTGTCAGAAAAAACAAGCAAAGAGCTCCTCTCCTTTGTTCAGACACAGGCTTGACAGCAATATCTAATCAGAACCTGCAGCTGAAATGGAAGGGAGAGGGCAACTTTACGAACAGCGGTATGCCGGAAGAGTAAAAGTAAAAAGTAAAAGTTTATGAGGAGTTTGGAATCAAGTCTAAATGTGAAAAGTTACAGACAGGTGTGACTCTCACCCTCTGCCCCAAAATACTCACTTCCTAGGAAAGTCAATGAAGACTATAACGGCAAAGATGATGATCAAGTCAAAGATCATCAGTTTATACATTTCCTGGCCAACTCGAGATTCCCAGCACTGAAAGAAGAGACAAGGGTATTCTCAGATTAAATACAGCGATTGCTGAAAGCGGCATAAAACAGATGTTAAAAACAGCCATCGGCATCTTAGTGAGCTATTTACATCAAGACAAAGCGTCTCAGGGCAGATGCTAAACATCTTCTGCTAAACATCTTCTTCACGGCTGAGCACCGTTCAAGGAGAGCCAACAGAGAGAGAATTTCTTTTTGTTCACTTACCTTATGTCATAACTCATTTCATTTCGTATGTAAACCTACTTACTGGATAAAGGTCATAATTGTATCCACATGTCTTGCACTTGTCAGCACAGGATGTGATCCGAGCCCACAGCGAGACCAAAAGGACAACAATGTTGGCCAATCGCACGAAGACACACCTTCAAGACAAGATGGAGGTACATGAAGAAACAAGCCAGTTTCCGTATCCCAGACATTTTGCGATAACAAGATTAAAGAGGAATTGTGGGCATGCATAAAATGGGTTGCTGGGGGTACCACACTGCTAAGCTGTGGTTTGGTTAGCCATGGTTTATTCAATAAGCTACAGCTGGTTGGGTTCACATGCCACACCAAGTCATACACTATGGTTTACAACCCATAACGGTTGGGTTGCATAATATACTAAGCCAAAACCCCAAGAAACCATATTTTATACTAAGAATAATGTGTGACCCAGCTGAAGCATGGAACTTAGGCCTTGTCATAAAAAAAGAAGAAATGAACTGGATATATTGATTTCTATATTAATCTTTGATATTTAGGGGTGGAAGAGATCCCTGCTCATGTGCTGCATTGGAACTGCTACTGAATCCTTCAAAATCCCACTCATTCACAAATCAAGAGTTGGGGGGCCAAGACAGTGTTTTTTCCCCACCTACTATTGTTGGGATATGACAAGCTACCATATTTCTGAAAGCTTGTTCAAATCATTCAGTTTTGGAAGGCCATGTGATCATTTGTCCCATTTCCTACCTGTAGCATTAATCCCCTCTTCCTGATCATTTCCCTACTGAAAATACAGTGGAACCTCGGGTTACGAATTTAATTCGTTCCGTGACTCTGGTCGCACCCCGAATTGGTCGCAACCTGAA